AACGTGATCCTCTGCAGCAAGTGACGGCAAAGCGGGGCTCATCACGACTTTACACAAGTGTGTCTTTACCTCCACGGCAGAGGTCTCCGCCGAACCCCTCGATGAGGGGTTCGATGAGACCGACTCATCGAACCCCTGGGGTTTGATAGAACCCAGGTTAAGAACCACTGGTCTTCATCTTTTTTCAAGCCTCAAGTATCTTTGTCCGTAAGTAGTGTTATTGTGCTCAAATGTTGTTTGAAATAAGTTTGTCTGCTATTTAAGTTGTGTCGTCTTGAACCTTGTTAAACGTGCCCAGCCTTTGTGGCACTACATGTCAAAATTCTCTTTCATGTAGTAATGTGTGTACTTGAGACGTGCAAGCTGTTCATATATGTCTCTTTAAGCTTATTTTTCAGTTTTACAAAAAAGATTAAAGGTCAGACGTACTTCAGTTCGACGTTTGGAGTTTTTTGTTCGCTATCTGTCTAACTCAGTCCAGCACGCCTGTGTGAGGACAGAATAGTAAAAGGACAGTTACACAGCCGGCTGGGAACAGATTCACTGTCGTCGACCACACACTGCAATTAAGATAAGGACATCATGGAGCAACAAAGGCAAGCAGACTTCGAAGTCTTGTCTCAAGTTGCAGCATCCAAGTCATCTGGGAGATCAAGTAAGTTCTCAGCCAGTGCAGCAGCTACCAAGGCAAAAGCTAAAGCACAGGCAGCCCTGGTAGAAGCCAAGTATGCAGCTCAAGAAGCGGAGATGATGAAAGAAAAAGCCCGCAACGAAGCTGAAAATCAGAAAATGATAGCTGAAGCAGAACAGCACAAAGCAGAGTTAGAGGCAAATCTGTACGTCCTAAAAGTCAACAGGAGTGCAAAAGCAGCCTCAGCAGAAGCTGCAGTCTATGTGTGCGTTCACACTGCAGCCTTAAGTGACCCAATTCCGATTTTTTTGACGTAATGTGACCTATATCCAATCTTTTCATGGCAGTGTGAACAGCACAGGTCGGATTCTTTTTCGAATGTGACCCATATCCGATACGTATCCAATTCAAATGCGACTTAACGTTCAGGTCGCCTTCATCCGAACTGAACGTCACTGATTCTCAACAAATCTTACTATTCTGCGTCCTGATACGCGCAAGCGGGAAGAAAAACAACAACCATGATGGACCATATGAGGATTAAGTTGTTAATATGCTGCTCCGGTTGGACAACAACTTAAAATATGTAAGCTAAGCTCCACCGTTAGCCTCCATGTTTACTTCCACACTCATTGAGTACTTCTTTTTATGGCAGTTGGCTGAGAATGCTGACGCTATTGCGCCCTCTACAGCGCATGCGGGACACTTTCAGTTCGTTTGCCCATTCACACTGCAGAACGCATACAGATCGCATTTACTGGCAGTGTGAACGGCCCCGGCAAAAAAATCGGAATTGCCAAAAAATTGGAATTGGGTCACTTCAGGCTGCAGGGTGAATGCACCCTATGAATCCTCAGCAGCATCAGAGGTGGATTCTCTTGAAGAAAGAACCCAGATCTACCCTGAGGATCGCACTCAACGCACAAATGACTATGTTGCAGGCACACTACGTGACACCAAACGTTTAGCAGCAAGCTCTGGTCTCACAAGAATCACCTGCCATGCCCATAAGTGCAGAACGAGTTCGTCCTGACCCAACTTCGTGGTTCCTAATTCATAACGAAGAGCCCCGTTTATCCAAGTTCTGCATTGAAGATGAAGAAATGCCTGGTGCAGAAAACAGAGGCTATCCATCTTATCTTCCTCCACCAATGTCGCACGCATCCAGTCTCAGAGATTATCCGTTTGAACCACCACAAGTAACTGATCTCACCAAATACCTCGTCAGAAGAGAAATGGTAAGCTCTGGGCTGCTAAAATTTGATGACCGTTCAGAAAACTACTGGGCCTGGAAAACTTCTTTCCAAGATATCACTAGAGAGCTCAACTTAACAGCAAGAGAAAACTTGACCTGCTGATAAAGTCACTAGGTCCAAACTCATCTCCTCAAGTCGTGCGTATCAGGTCAGTCCATGTCCACAATCCAGGGTATCACTATGGTGTGACATAGGCTAGATGATACATATGGTTCCCCTGAGATTATAGAAAATGCACTTCTGCTAAAGCTAGAGACTTTTCCAAAAATATTCAACAAAGACAATCAGCGTCTTAGAGAACTGGGGGATATTTTAATGGAGGTTCAGTTAGTCAAGTCAGGTGGAAAATTACCAGATTTAGCTTATCTTGACACAGCCAGAGGGGTTAACCCAATTGTGGAAAAGCTTCCCTATGCCTTACAAGAATGCTGGTTTACACAAGATTCTAAGTACAAGGAAGAACATAATGTTCCCTTTCCACTCTTAAGCTACTTTGTAAGTTTCATATGTAGTGAAGCGAAAACCCGTAATGATCCAAGTTTTATGTTTTCTACATGTGGTGTTATGACTCATGTAAAGTCAGAGAAACCGTTAAGACACAACAACACTTACAAAACAGTGTCAGTGAGAAAAACTGAAGGTGCAGTTGCACCTGTAGTCATCAACAGTGTATCAGAAAAGAAATTAGAGGAACCAGCTGAGAGGTGCCCGATACACAGTAAGCCACATCCCTTAGCAAAGTGTGGTTTTAGAATGAAGCACTTAGATGAGAGAAAAGCTTATCTAAAAGAAAACTCCATTTGTTTTCGTTGTTGCGCATCCACTAAGCACTTGGCCAAAGACTGTAAAGTTTCTGTGAAGTGCAAAGAATGCAACAGCGACAAGCGCCTTACTGCTTTACATCCTGGTCCTGCTCCTTGGGTTACAGAAGTTGAAGCAACAAGAGCAAGGCGGGGAGCAAGAAAATAGTCCATCACTGGAGGTCACTTCAAAATGTACAGAGATTTGTGAGACATCTCATGGACTCAGATCCTGTTCAAAAATCTCATTAGTGAACGTGTACCCTATTAACAATCCCAACAAAGCCCAAAGGATGTATGTGGTTTTAGATGACCAAAGCAACCGATCTCTTGCGAAGTCAGCCTTCTTTGACATGTTTGGCATTGATGCAGTCTCCACCACTTATACTCTGAAGACGTGTGGAGGAATAAAAGAGGCCACAGGAAGGAAAGCTCACAATTTTGTTGTTACGTCTCTGGATGGAAAGATTCAAGTAACTCTCCCACCTCTTTTAGAATGCAATACTATCCCAGATGATCGATTCCTACGCCTGACATTATGCAACATTTCCTTCATCTACCTCCTGTTGCAGGTGAAATACCACCAATTGAGCCAGAAACACCCATCCTTCTCTTATTGGGGAGAGATGTCCTGAGTGTCCACAAAGTACGTGAACAGTACAATGGTACGCCTCGTACAAGGGTGTTTAACTAAATGACATTCTACTTAGGGGACCTGACTTACACAACACACTGCTCGGTGTTCTACTGTGCTTTAGGCAAAAACGAGTTGCAGTTACTCTAGATGTTGAGCAGATGTTTTACTGCTTCAGAGTCAAAGAAAGCCACAGAAATTATCTTCGGTTTCTATGGTTCCAAGATAATGACCTCAGCAAAGAAATCATGGCGTTTTGCATGAAGGTGCCGGTTTTTGGCAACAGTCCTTCCCCAGCTATTGCAATCTACAGTCTCAGACGAGCAGCTGAACTTGGAGAAGAGTATGGCTCCAACACAAACCAGTTTGTCTTCCACAACTTCTATGTGGATGATGGACTGGCTTCAGTGGACAGCAAAGCCATTGAACTCTTAACACAAGCAAGGAACATGATGGCAGAGTCAAATATAAGGCTTCACAAAATAGCCTCAAATGTCAGTCGTGATGAATGCATTTCCTCCAGAAGAAAGAACAGCGGACCTCAAAGATTTGGATTTGGATGTTGACCCTCTCCCTCTTCAGTGAGGTCTTGGGGTGAGCTGGAACCTGGAAAATGACTGCTTCACATTTCGAGTTGCTACGGACAACAAACCTTTCACCTGCAGGGGAATACTTTCTGTTGTCAACAGCCTCTATGATCCCCTTGGATTTGCTGCCCCAGTTACAATCCAAGGAAAGGCATTGTACAGAAAGTTAACTTTTGGACAAGAAGATTGGGATGAGCCTTTACCAGCAGACCAAGAGGCAGAGTGACTAAGGTGGTCTGATTCACTTACTGCTCTTGAACACCTCCAAATCCACAGGCCATTTGTTGAAGTTTCAGTATCGCAGGCTCAGAGAACAGAACTATGCATTTTCTTAGATGCTTCAACAACAGCAATAGCAGGTGCAGCATACCTCAGGGTCATTGACACTGGTCACCAATGTCATGTTGGGTTTATCATGGGCAAATCTAAGCTAGCACCATCATCTGCCCACCCTATCCCACGTTTAGAATTATGTGCAGCTGTATTAGCAGTGGAACTCTCTCAATTGATCATAGATGAAAGTGACATCGAGTTTCATGCAGTGAACTTCTATACAGAGAACCGAATAGTTCTAGGCTACATCCACAATGACACCTGCAGATTCTACGTATATGTGGCCAACAGAGTTGCTCAGATTCACAAGTCTACCAAACCAGACCAGTAGCATTTTGACACTATTGACCAGAATCCTGCAGATCATGGGACTAGAGCTGTATTAGCAACCCAACTGCAACAAGCCACCTGGCTCTCTGGACGTCGGTTCCTCACACTGTCTGACACTGAACCAAGAGATCCAGGACAGAACAAAGAGACTTTTGACCTTGTGCAGCCTTCAACAGATGTTGAAATTTGTCCTCAAGTAATTTCCCTAGCAACAAAAGCAGAGGAAAAAGGGCTCAGATCCCATAGGTTTGCACGCTTCTCAAGCTGGAAGTCTTTAGTGAGAGCAATCAAATTTCTCATTCATGTTGCTAAGTCATTCTCAAAAGCTTCAAGCACATGTAAAGGTTGGCACAGCTGCAATCTTGCCAATACTACAGAAATCTCTCAAGCAAAAACAACAATCATTCAGTGTGTTCAAACTGATGTAACAATTATAGGCCACGCAGCTAACTGCAGCTACAAAAGCAGCATCAGAAGATGGTTCTTTTTGAAGGAGCCTGAGGTGTGAATGAAGACACAAGCACTGTTTTAGTTTTGGTGTGAATGTATTAGTGATTTGAAGAATAAAAGACAACAAACAGTTACAAATACACATTGAGAGACAACTTGATTCCAAATAAATCAATTCAAAGATCAAAGTCCTTGTCCTTAGCTCGCCATCAGTTCAAAGAGGATCTGAAGATCTTATCCATCATGGGGGAAAAAAAAAAACCCGACCTTTGAGCAGAGAGTGCCAGACTACAATCAGCTGTGAATTCCAGTGACGGCCCAGGTAACAACCGCTGACATTCTAATAAAACAATGCTCTAATGATCAATTGAGCAACATTTTTATGGTGCACAATACTGCTATCAACCCAGCAAATTCACCAATAGTTCAAATCAGTTGTTTCAAAGATTTGGATGGATTTCCAGGATGAAACATTCAGCAAGACGCCAACAGCCAGCCACAATCACAGTGGAACAGGTGATGATGTTCAAACTGCGCTGAAGGCGGGGCTTTAAATAAGTTGAACAGTTTAGGGCAACACAGGAAGTGGGCCCACAAAATAAAAGTCTGGCTAATTGACTAAATGCGGGTTACACTGAGAATAGAGTTTGAAAGTCTTAAAAGAGGAACAGATATCCCCTCACGCAGTCCTCTCGGAAAACTCAACCCTATTATTGATTGTGGCTTAAAGGTCGGAGGACACTTACAAGCAGCAGGGCTTTCAGATGTGGAGAAACATCCTGTGATAATTCCAAGTAATCATCATGTTGCTGTTCTTTTAGTTCGACATTACCACAACCAAGGCAGACAGTTCACTGAAGGTGCTCTGCGCTCAGCAGGATTATGGATTATTGGTGGCAAGAGACTAATTTCCAGCACACTTCACAAATGAGTAACCTGTAGGAAACTTAGAGGCCGCCTAGAAGTGCAGAAGATGGCTAGTTTGCCCTCTGGCAGACTTTCAGTTGACCCACCGTTTACTCATGTAGGTCTGGACGTCTTTGGGCCTTGGAATGTTAAGTCTCTTCGCACAAGGGCAAATAACACCGACTGTAAAAGGTGGGCAGTAATGTTCACCTGTGTCAGTACCAGGGCCGTGCATATAGAGGTCATAGAGGCAATGTCAACTTCAAGTTTCATAAATGCCTTACGTTGTTTCCTCTCAATCAGAGGACCTGTCAAACACTTATGCTCAGACCAAGGGACAAACTTCATTGGTGCATGTAAGGAGTTGCAAATCAATGCTCAAGACCCAGAGATCACAAGTTATCTATGGGACAAAAGCTGCACCCGGACATTCAACGCCCCACATTCATCTCACATGGGAGGAGTCTGGGAGAGAATGATTGGACTCGTTCGACGCATTCTTGATGGCTTGTTATTGCAAACCTCAACCACCCGCCTCACACATGAGGTTTTGGTCACCCTCATGGCAGAGGTCATGGCCATAATGAACGCCAGACTCTTAGTTCCTGTCTCAAATGATCCTGAAACACCTGAAGTTCTCTTGCCCGCAATGCTTCTAACGCAGAAAGTTGGTGCCGTTCCAACACCACCTGGACGGGGAGTGTATTGTAAATACTAAGATGATTTCTTAGCATCTTATTTTCTGTTGTTTCATTATCTCCCCTTGTGGCAGAATTTAAGTTAGGTTTTGTTTCCGTTAAAATTCCGTTTGTCTTGTGTTTTCGGCCTGCAATGTGGCAGAGCGACAGTGTCTAAATCTTTTTTCAAGCCTCAAGTATCTTTGTTCGTAAGTAGTGTTATTGTGCTCAAATGTTGTTTGACATAAGTTTGTCTGCTATTTAAGTTGTGTCATCTTTAACCTTGTTAAACGTTCCCAGCCTTCGTGGCACTATGTGTTAAAATTCTCTTTCATGTAGTAATGTGTGTACTTGAGACGTGCAAGTTGTTCATTTATGTCTCTTTATGGTTATTTTTCAGTTTTACAAAAAAGATTAAAGATCAGACGTACTTCAGTTCGACGTTTGGAGTTTTTTGTTCGTTCACTATCTGTCTAACTCAGTCCAGCACGCCTGTGTGAGGACAGAATATTACCCATAGTGTAATCTGTAACTAATAATGATTTAAATTTAGAAAAAGAAACAACACTAAAATTATTTCAATCTGGAAAGACTCAGACGGAGAAAAGGAGATGTTAAAAGATTTATTGACAAAATGAATAACAGTTCTTTGGCGCTCGGGCCCCGGCTGAAGATTTGAGCTGTGAATTGCAGTGAACTGGGATGAGCTCCACCGATGCTGATTAGGGATGCTCTACCCCCGACACTGGTGGTGGAGGTTGGATAAAGATGACATCTTGGAGAACCAGAGGATGTGGGTTGAGAACAGCTGGAAAGCGCCTGACAGTGTGGGAGTGGATCCTTATAAGCGGAAGCTTGACTGATGATTGGATGAGGTGGGTCGAGGTCCACCACTGAGGTTGGAGGCGATGAGCATGATGGAGTGATTGGATGGAGCAGGAGAGGCAGAAGTCTTCCAGCTTGAATTTGCACCTAGGCTTCATGTGGTGGTGGTAGAATCATCCACCACACTGCTTAACCAATATGAATTCAAATCAGAATTAATCAATCATAAAAAGCAAAGTATACCAGGCTGGTCACAACTTTCTTTTAGTCACAACATAACAGAAATTATTTCTCAAGTGATCAAATATCTCAAAATATGCTATCCAGCAGCAGTCAAGAAACAGATAAACTAGTCTAGTATTTTACTTTTCTGTAATTATAAATTTGAAACATTCGTTCATCTTTAAACTGTTTTTTATTCTGGTTAAGTAGGCGGAAGCCTCTCTCAGGTCCAGCATCTGAGACACACAATTATGTACTGCACCACCCTGCTTTCATTAAAAACATCTTGGAAATCTTATTGTCTCTTTGTTTTGTCCTTTTCTTACATTACCTTTTGGATGAAGGAAAAGTAATTTATAATTGCTTTGCGGAAACAAATGATTCCTCTGACTTTGTGGAAAAATATGTTTGGTACATTTGTGTCAACTCATTAAACATCAGATTAAAAAATAAGGATGTAATGATGGGGCACAGATTCAATCATTCTGGACATTTCCAATGTGTCAGGAATTCTACAATAAGATGTGATGTTTCTCTGTAGAGTACACCTGTACAGGATCTTTTTTGTACAGGTAAAAAAGATCCTGTTTTTGACCTTTTTAATGGGATGTAGATATTATGCAGTATACACACAGCAAATCACTGAAATATGTAAAACTGAATTTCAAAGCTTATGTTTGTAGCCCAGTTATTATTTTTGCATTGTGAATGAAATACAACAAAAAAATTCCTGAATAAAATTGGACAGAAAAATCACAAAAAGTAGGTTATGTTTAGTGCTCAAAAACTGGTGCTAGTAATATTGGTTAACATGTTCAAACTGTCCATGTCGCCTCAGAGAATAATTTACCACTAAATATGCATGTAAAAAGAAAGAAAGCAAAAAAAGAAAAAAAAAATTAAGCATGTTGAGAATGAAAGGTTTAGGGACTACGCCTGAACTTCATTTGCATTTGGATCCGTACATTACCAACATGACTAGAATTGGCCTTGATCGGTGGGTCAAGGCAACTTGTAAATAAACAAAGTACATCCTATTTTATTTTAAAGTTCTGTTGCTTATTGAAGAGATTTTCATACACAGAATAATAATTTTTGTACACTAACAAAATCATGGCTCAATAGATTATAGTAACCTGCAAGCAAACCCCCTCAAATTTGTGTGCACTCAGGTCCATGTTACATGTTCTCATTTTAGGCAAGTTAAATCTATCTGATTTAACATGAATTAGAAAGTTAACAAAAAAATAGCATGTTATAATAGACTTGACCTTTATGTTATTCTAGTCAGATTTGCTTCTGTAAGGGAAGAAGTTACAACAGCATAAAGAAGCTACACCACCAGCTAACATATAAAGAGTAAACCTAGGAAAACCAATGCATTGTCCCTGATGGTGTATATTAGATGTGGAACTGACCTACTATAACTTGTTGCCCATCTATTCTGCTCTCATCAATTCTCATCTCCCATACAGCTGCCCCCTTCTCCCTCCCTCAACACAATGATGATCAACTCCTTCTCAAACAGGAAGCCCTGCTCCCATATCTATAAGAAGCACAAACTTCTCTTCAAACTATGAGGAATTTATTAACAAAATACTTCAACTTGTAAGATTATTTAGTTAAACTACTAACCTGCCACTAAACTAAGTGGACATGAGAAGAAGAAGTAAAATTAATAATCTATGAAAACACAGTAAAAAAAAAAAAACAGCAGTAAAACAATTCAGTGAACTTTAGTTTAAAAACCAAGCTTTGTTTTGAAGAGATTGGAATGGGACAAAATTAATTTTAAATCTATTAAGATCAACAGTTGGTAGATGTTCTACATCAGTTCACAATGCAATGCTGATAAGAAAAAGAATATTATCTTAATGAAGCAATGTTTTATTAAAAATGAGTAACCTTATGAAAAATTGTTTGTCAAAGTTGTACTACTGCTATCACAGTGACTGATAGGATCTAAAGATGAACTACCAAGATGGCAGCTTAAAATGGATGTAGACTTACAATTTAGCTGATTAACAGCAGACGTCACAGAATAAGTAGTTCAAAAAGAAATTGCACCTGTGGCACTATTTATCAATCTCGTTAAGTCCCATGTGGGCCTTTAAGTATCATTAATACCAATATTAACACATCTTCAGTGCTGGTAGTCTGCTGCCTGTCTGTGGCATGAACAGACATGGCATGTGTTTACAACACAGTAGAAACTGAATGTTGTTTCTGTCTTAGCATCAGCAGAGCTTTAGCAGTCTTTTACTGCATTTTAACAGTAATATTCAGACATTATGGTCTCCCAGATTCAGCACTTGAGCTGCAGTAAAAGATTGAAATCCTGTTCAGCATGCTGAATGTTGAGTTTGTTTTAAATTGTACCATGTCTTCTTTCTGCAGTAATCACAGTTCATTTTGCTGTTTTTTATTTTGTTTGTTTTTTGTTTTTTTCATATAAATCT